CTCATAAATGCGATAATATAAATATGCAATAATGTGGATAATGACAATGAAGATAATAAGCCAACCTGTTACAATGTGTTTTTCTCAGAAAGTGAAGATTCCCTTTTTGTTCTCTATCTCTTCCTATTTATAGGGGATATTTCCCAGAAACCCTAAAAAGTACAAAATAAGGAATATCCAAAGGAATATTCCTTGTGTCCATATCTGAACCTACCCTAACGTTATTTCTCCACTTCAGTTGTTCGTCCTCGACATCAGCCCTCTCGAAAACGACTTCCAGCTATTACACCACGGCCGACCCCGTCCTTGGTCCCGTTTATCTACTTGTACCAAGTCGCCAAATTCATACCAACACACTACCAGACCTTAGATGCTTTCTACTAGCACTGGACACTCTTCTAAGCGCCAGATTCTTATCATATTCGACCTAATAATTCTACAACTATGAACACATTTGGGCGTCAGTCGTCACACATTGTTTAGTTATCACACAAGCTAATTTTTTTTGCACTCTAGAATGAACAAGGGCTTATCAATAAGTTAAGTACTCAAGAATTATCAAAATCCTTGTCGGAGCATTAGAGTGATAGTCACTCCGATGATCGCCATTAACGAGACCAAATGAGACATGGATAAGAAAAAAATAGAATAGCCAAAAGTTGAGAAAGAAGCTTATCCTTCAAGTTTCTAAGGTGAAAGTTTAGAACAAACAGAGGCCAACAGGTAAAGTATGCGAGTCAATGAGTATGCAACGCAAATAAAATAGTACAAAGTGAAACTGAGGGCGTACCTCTATGGCGAGATGCATGGATCACCATGTGCATGCTATAAGATGCTTCTTTGAGTGTCAAGTGGAGTTGTTTAAACTCGAAGTGATTTAACGTCTGCATTATTAATACGACGAATGTTTCATGTGATATATGAAGCTAAGTCGATGCTTCTAAAAGTAACGAACACAAGGTTTTTGGTGCAAGGCCTATAAATTTTGAAACATTTGGACACCAATGTGTCTAGCATAATGATTACTTGGTTCTTGCCAATGGTTGACTCTATACAAGAGAATGAGAAATGTGACGCAACCTTTCCTTTTAGTTAGTACGGGCAAGACATGAGTTGAAAATATAGTGAGTGAAGAGTTTTTCCACGAGTAAAGAGTATAAAGAAACCAGGAATTAAGCAAAAGAACGATCTTAAATGGAAAAGAGTCATATTAATCCATGATAGTTTATAGTACCTTAGCTTCATGTTTCGATGATCTAACAAATTTACTGTCGGAAAACCAGATAAGGAACCTGATACACTTGGTACACAACTCAATCGACGGACTCAAGCTAATGTGAGTTGCTATAACTTCAGAAGATAAAGAATCAACACAGGGACCTGATCCCCTTGGGTTCCCCTGACAGCAGTACGAAGTCAACTCTCTACCGCTGGAAAGTGACTGCCTGCACTGTACACGCAAACAGTGCAGCATAGTGCAGCAGTCACTTCGCATTGACCTTGTACCAACCAAGTGACTACATCATTCAAGTGATGTCATCCAAGTTGTATTAATAAAACATTACAACAAAACATCACTTGAACACTTGAGAATCCAAGCACTCCAAGCATATGACAATCAAGCATTCAATTCTCAAGTGCATCAAGAACAAAGTACAACACTACTACGGACCAGTTCCTACAGCAAGTCTCTTGTATGTCCTTAGTTGAGTTGTAACTTTGTAATTGTTCTTCATTGTAATTCTTACTTTGCTTATCTAGAAGCTGTATTTAGGAACCCCTTGTAAACCATAAACCTTTAATGTTTGTGTCGTGACTAGAGTTAGTCATGAGTTGAAGTCTTTGTAATAGGTGTATTACAAAGTGGCTTGTAATAGGTGTATTACAAGTTAGTAAAGGATTAAGAGTTTAATTCCTAGATTGCATAGGTTGTAATCTAAAGATTGTTCATAGTGAAGTTGAAATCCTACCAGTGTAGGTCGTGGGTTTTTATCCCCTTGAGCAGGGATTTTTCCACGTAAAAGTTCCCTGTGCCATTTACTTGCTATTGCATTAGCGTTATCTGTGGAAACCTATATAGGACCTGGTCTCTATTTAGTTTGGTGGACTCATATATTCTATCAATCTATTTATATATGTTAGTACTAGTAAAGAGAATAGCCCATATGCTGAGCATGGGCCCAAGCCAGAGGCAGAGTCACAGTGTCGGTTATCGGTTCGGCGGAACTCAGTAGCTTTGGTTGTTAAATATGTACAAATTATTAATTTATAATTTTATAACTTAAAAGGATTAGGATCCCGAACTCATAATCTTGAAATTCTGATTCCGCCTCTATCCCAAGCGCTATATTGCAGGATGTGGCTTTTTCTTTTTGGTTATCTGTATTTTAAATGGAGGTCACTGATATCTGTTAGTACTATGTATTTCTTTATTGCTCGTAAGATATTTCATCGAGATTTCAAAAGTATAATATTTGTTCCTACTCATTTTCAATTCTCGAACTCTTGCATTGCTTTTGCAGTGGTTTTAACTTTTATTGATGGACGTAATCACATACTATAGGTTTGTATTCTGGTAATTGTAGTGTTTTCTTTAGCTTCTCTTTCGTCACAATTTTGTCCAACCAGGATATTCTGTTTACTCAATTTATAAAATTTCCTCGATTAAATCTTCTGTTGCGTTGTTAATAATGTATTATTAAATAAGTCATGGCAAATATTTAAATTCATTTATCACATAATATTATAAGTTTGAACACATTAATTTATAAAAAATCAAGTTTGATATGAAATGAATGGATAGCAAAAAGATCACACAAACAACTCGAAGGTAAATAAATTTACCATGATTTTAAGTTTGTAAAATAGCTTTGAATTGGCTATCATTATAAATTTAAAAATATGTTAAGGTTTTTGAACAATACTATTCGGAGTAGCAACTTGCCTACTTAGGTAAGGCTTTGATTTAAAAATATTTTTCTAATATTAAAGTAATAATTTGTGGTTAGCCAATATTTCAACCAGTATTATTCGTATTCATTAGAAAATGTCCTTTGCGATCTAAATTATATGCACAATGAAAAATAAGATAATAATTAAACCAAAAGAATGCACAGCAGTTAGGGGTGGGCATCGGTCGGTTCGGTTCGGTTCGGTTATGAATATTATCGGTTTTGTCTATCAGTTATCGGTTTATAAATATGATAAACCGATAAGCAAACCGATAAGATATTGGTTATCGGTTATCGGTTAATCGGTTATTGATCATTATCAGTTCGGTTATCGGTTTACCCGATACGTAAACTAAAATTAAGAGTGCTGATATATATTACCATAGCCTTTGCCAAAGCTCACAGAGGCTGAAGTCAAGCAATTGATGGAAGTTGTAAGGCAGAACAACTCCTAAATGTTACAGTATTAACCATTTCTTTCCTTCACAATTATAATATCTCATGTCTTGTAAACTTCAGGCCGATGTGGATGGAAATGGTTCAATTGACTACACTGAATCAATTCATCACCGCCACCATGCATAAGCACAAGCTAGAAAGAGATGAAAATCTATTCGCTGCATTTCAGTATTTTGATAAAGATGGCAGTGGGTACGTACTATGTGTATATCCTACACACATGAGAAATCAGATATAAACACTATAAACACTAAACAGAAAAGCAAAGTTGTGACAGTAAAATATCGAGTATTAGCAAATTCTATGATCATCAACTACACATTAACCCAAATGGAACACAATGCAGAGGTAACTAATTTACAACAAGATATCCCATTCACCAAACAGCTAGAGAATCCAATGCCACTTCAGGATTTGGTAGCAAACCAGCAACTAAAACCAAAATCTAAAAGTACCACATCTCCAAACACAACATCACAGATGAAGCAGCTGACAACTTAGTAGTGGTTTATTTTTATCAACTGACTGAATGGAAAAATCAGCAGTACAACTACATGTCTACACCCCTTCCCCTCCATAATTTTGTCTGTTCTATAACTTAATCCACTGAACTTGTGAATGAAATAGATCTTAACTTTATTTATGTGTTTGTTCTATATACATTCAATTTATTAATAATTAAAAGGGGCTTCAAAAATCCATGTATTGATTCATATTCTCCTTAGGTATTTGCAGTAGACAGTAGTCCTAGAAAAGGCAGTCAAGAGCAATACAAAAAAAGAGAAGCTTCAGTTTTTTGCTACTCACATTTGATAGACGAAAAGGAGAAATTGGATACCCATATAACTAGAGATTTAGAAAATCATTCAAGTAAATATGCAAAAACTGATTTCTAAGGGAAGCCTAAATCAGTGTTTCTAAGATACCAAACTAAGACGAATTCAGAAATGGGATATGAAACACTGACCTTAGTGCAATGCTCTGCCGGAAAAATATAATAGAAAACTGAGTCTTGACGGGCTCAGCCATGGGGCCATGAGCCGTGAGGCGGAGAACTGGTGAGGGCTTGAGCCGTGTCCGGTGGCGGAGTGGCGGAGAACTGGTGAGGCGTGAGGAGTGAGGACTGAGGGTGAGGGTGACAGGGAGTGAGGCAGAGAAAGAACTGAGAAAGAGAAATTGAACCATGTATATGAAACCCAAGTATGTATATACTTAGGGGTAAACTAGTAAATTAGTAAACCCTTATTGGGTTATCGGTTTACCCAATAACAGAATTGCTAAACCGCGTTCGAATCGATAACCCAATAAAAAAAAATTTTTACCCGTTACCGAATCGTTAACCCAATAACCCAATACCGATAACCCAATAAGTAATTAACAATTCGGGTTATCGATTTTACCCGATATATGCCCACCCCTGGAAGCAGTTGCAACAAGCTAGCAAAGGAAAACAGTTAGACAAAATAGTCTACCAACAATTGAAAGTAACTCATTTGAAAAGGGAAAAAAAAAGCGAATTAGAAGTGAAATTATAGTTTTTTACACAAAACTATAATATTTTCTACTTATTTAGAAGCGGGAGATAGCAGCTCTTCGTCGTCCTCTCAAGGGTATTTAAGAAATTTTGTTTAGAGATATTCTTAGTTTGACCTGGAAAACCTGCGGTGCTTTGATAGTCATCTCCCTCCTTTGCAGACACGTGGTTTATAGATTACCTGCGATCTCCTGCTTCCGCCAGCGTCTTCCCCGTTGATTTGTAGATAACTATCTCGAAGCGTGTTTGATGATTCCCCTCGTTGTTGAAGAATGGATTTTGAGTCAAAGTTCTATAAAGTTACACGAAGGTTAATTTTACAGAGACAGAGGCTATTTCGAATTCCCTAGGTAATCTTACTGATGCTCTATCTCTTCTCATTTTTCTCTTCTCTTGTCATTTTACCTTTGAAGTGTGTCTATTTATGTCTGGTTGGGTTCAAATTTGATCATTGGAAGGTTGTGGTGTTATCGGTGGCTGAAAAGGGGAAATAGAGTGCTTCTTCCATGTCAGTAGGTGTGTTCTTTAACCATAGTCTGGTTTACTGTATGATGAATAGAAGAAATGTTATCTTTTGGTTTTCAATGTATTGCTAAAGAAAGAGATAGGTTTGGTGTTATTTGTTGGCAGAGTTTGGACACTAAAGGAGAATGATATGTAGTGTAAATTTTGCTTTCGATTTTTTCTTGTATTTCTTTGTCAATTTTGGAGATAAAATCAGACCTTTCAATTGCCCTCACAATCAACAGTATGAGAATTTTCGTATTTAAAATAGATAAGATATCATGTAGAAGCATTCTTTTGTTTATTGTTGCACATTCTTGCTCTGCATAAATTTCTTTTGAAATAAAAGAAGTCACAATATTATTTACCTCATGTAAGTGATTGGTTTTCATATTGCTTCTCCCGAATGAACACAAGTTATATTTTTTTCGATACGTCTGAATGAATCACAAGTTTGTACTTATAAAAAGACTCGTGATTGTACATTGAATTTTGTTCTCTCTCTTTGCTTCTTTTTCCTTTATTCTACTTCTGTGTTTCTCTGTTGGAGAATTTCTATTTCACAATCAATATGCACACAGCCGTTTCTAAGAAATATCTTACTTTTGCACCTAAGAGTGACTTGTTGCTCCCAACAAGGTTGAATCCAATTTAGGTGTATATGCATCTTTTGGTGTGTCATTGTGGTTTTCTTGAAGTGTTTGTGCAGTATTTTTGTTGTGTGTGTCATCTTTCTATTTCAAATCTCTTGTTTGAGATAAAATTGCTGAACTTCTTGCATTGTTGATTCAAAATTGTAAAATTATGACTACTCGAAAGAAAATATCAGTCTTATAATATGCTTTGACTTGGTGAAGTCGGTCTGATTGATTAACTACCTCTCCGGGAGCTGCATTCACAGGTGCAACAACATTCACGTATTTTGTTACATAATGAAAATAATAACCAAATGAAGCTTCAAAAATTGTGGGTACTAGAAAATTTTGCTGCATTGTAATTTTTGAGGACTGAAAATTGTTTTTCACATGGAAAACATTAGATTTCTATCTTCCTCCTTTATTAGCATCTGGGAGAGAAAGAAGAGGAGGAGAGGAGGAAATATGACAAAAAGGGTATGAAGTAGGTTGCGTGTAGCGATTGCGATTGCGATTGCTTATTTGGTACAATATTTATTTAAATGGTTAAACCTATGAGAAAGGGGTTCACCTGGTAGGTGGTGTTAGCTGGGTGCCAATCACGTCTAGGGGATAATTCGGGAAGTCATAGATGAATTGAGACTTATGCCGAAACCAATTTGCAGGCTGATCCCCCTTAACTATCCAAAATTCGTGAAGAAGATATTATTGGCGTCACAGTATTGCTATTAACATTATCCTATGCGGGGCAAGAATTTATTCGAGTAGGATATTATGTGAACAATGATTACGATGATGAACAATTAAAAGAGGAACCACCTCAGAAGGTTTTGCTTGATAGGGTCCAGAGGAATATTTTGGCTGACAAACCCCAAGTCACGAAATTCCCCAATGATTTCCATCCAGAAAACAATGAAAATTGAGAACAGGCTCCTGCCTCTCCTGACCATGCCACAGAAGTCAATGTGCATGTAGAAGAACCAATTTTTTCACCCAATCAATGTTTAGTGCAGTGTCCTCAAACCTGAGAAACAAGAAGCAAGTTGCATTGGCTGTCAAAAGTTTTCTTTCAGAGTTTGATATTTTGATGATTTCTTATACCAATTTGGTGTTATGGTCTCAAAATCTACACTGCCTAAATGGTATTTTTAACTTATGCCTTGAAATGTATACATGAAATGTTGTATCTGCTGGAGTTGTAGATGAGATAAATCATTCTTAAATTAAATGCTGATTTGCAAACAAGAATTTGATCACATATGATATTTGCACATGTTATATCTCTGATTACTATAGCAGCCACTTTTTCAGTCTCTTATGTGGTGCTCGAATTCCTGTTTTGTGCTTTTTTCCTTTCCTTTGTGGTGAGATACAGCTACAATTGGGCAAATATCAATATGTTCATAGTTGAACTTATAATATTCTGTCACCTTTTTACAGAGAAAATGTATGTTCTGGAGGGATGAAACAAAGGTCACAAATTTTGACCCTTAAATATTCTGCTCAACACATCCAAACTAAATAGGTTGAATGAGGTTTGTAATCGTTTAAATTTTAGTAGGTGTACTCCAAAATAACCTATCCAAAAGGCTAGGTATATGAAAGGGAAAGAAGACAAACTGAAGAAAGAAAATGAAAAGAAAAGAAAAAAGGAGACTGCAATTACTCCTTGTATTTCTGGTAGCTAAAGCGTTTATCTGAAGATTTCTTCTAAAATAGGAACTTCAACTCCTTAAATTTCTATCATATAAAGAAAGCTATGAAGGGAAGAAGCTTTGTGTAGAATACAATTTGACCAAGATAATGCCAATAAAACTAAATAAACTTTTAGATTATATCTAAACATCCTCAACTACTCCAATTTTCATCTTGTGTTAACTTCCAGAACACATGATTGCTAAGATTCAGACACAAGACACAATCAAAGCTCACCTTCAACAAACATTAGACAGAGAAGTCCCATGACGAAACCCAAGTCTTAGGTTCCATGGCCACCCCACCAATACATGCATAGCCTTTCAGAATTAGAAATAATAATTGTAATGTAAACAAAAGCTTCCAACCTTAAAATGCCAAGGAAGCTATTTGTTTACTCTTGGATCTGGAGAAGGTGAGAGTAGAGGCGGCGGTAGGATTTGAAGTTCATGGGTTTTAAATTCATCATTGAACCCATAGTTTGTCTTAGTAATTATTGGGTCCGCAATTAAATATTTATATATATTTTATAAATTTTCTAATACAAATACAAGGTTTAAGCAAAAACTACTGGGTTCGTCCAAACCCGCAGCTAATGCTCTCTCTCCGCCCCTGGGTGAGAGGTAGGAAAAAGAGGTTTGGATAGAACTAAAAGGCCAGAAGAACTAATAAGGGATGTGGAGGGTCTTATTTACTAGAACGAATTCAAAAATATGACAGTTACGCAGGAACAAAGATATAAGATAAGTACCAATGTGCAGCAGCTTCAGCAAATTAATTGGATTTTAAAGAATACAATGTTGAAACCATCCTTGTGCCTTTCTATATCTAAGGAGAAAACATGATTGTGCTGAAAAATGTTAAGAATCAGCTTACACCTAAATGATCCAAGTCTTATTACTTTAGATACTAAAATTTAACAAGATCAAGTAAAACAGCACAGGCTAAGTAGAAAATGAACCGAGTAAAGTAATAAAAATAACAGTAAATAGAAAACTCAAAGATCGAGAGAAAGAGAGGGAGTCGTTTTATTATTATTCTGCTGTTCGGTCCAAGATGCAAAGCTTTCTTGTTGATATAAAGTCAGTCAAATCTAAGAACAAGAACAAGTAAAACAAACAGAGCTTGACTAATGTAGTAGCTGCAGTGACTAATTGATGATTGATGCCCTTGCCTGGAGGATTTGATTAGGCTCCTTTTATAGGGTGAGGTCTCTATGAGATGACAAGAATCATGGTCACTTGATAAAAGCGTGACCCACGGATGTTCGTTTAATTCAAAGTTTTTGGTCGTCAAGGGTATCTTCTTTGGCTTGTTTAGAAGAGGCTTGTTATTCCTGTAGATTTATTATACCAACAAGGCACCAATTATATTTTTGTTAATGTTAATCCTTCTTCATTATGTATAGATAGAAATCCAAATTGTGAGTTTACTTTTTAAGGCTTCTCAAGTTAGTGAAACTCCTAAAAAATTCAAACAAGTCTAGAGCTGGTCCGGGAAGATAACCCCTGAAATTTTGTCTCTGGAAGCTGCAATATGAGTTTGGTAGCTAAATATAACTCTAAACATACGATGCTACTTGCTTGGATGGCTACGAAGTAGGAATTTAGTAGGTATTTTGATTTTAAAAAAAAAGGATAGGATAAATGACTTTGGATTGTCTTAATATTAGATTTCTAATGCCTTATTGAAAAATAAAATAAACCTCCTAATGATTTAGTAGGCATTTTAATTTGACGAAAGAGGGGTAGGATTATATTTTTTTTAAAAAGCACAACTAGAGGGGAGCTAAATGATGCGTTAGTAAGTTTCACAAGTTTTTTTTTCCTCTTTGGGCATATCTTTCACGAGAAACTTAGATTCTTTGGAGAAAGAAATTTAATGTGGTGACCCTACTATTGCCTTTTGCACGTCAAATTTTCATGTATTATAATGCAAACACATAATGGGTGAAGATGATGGGGTTCCTCGTAGAAGTTGTTGGCCATGTGCACTAAAGTTTGTTTGTATGTGTTAATATACGTAGTACGGCTGTATTGTGGCTCGGGCCCAGCCCGGGACCGCGAGACCATGGGCCAAACGGGCCGGTCCAAACGGTACGGTCCCAAACGGTCCTAGGAGCCCACTGTGGGCCGGTCCTCCATTTTGAGACCGCGAGTCCGGGACCATTTAGACCGGGACCGGCTGGCGGGCCTGGGCCGGTTTAACCGGTCCTAACGGGTCCAACGGCTATTTTTCAAAAAAAAAAATTTAAAATTGGCCAACGGTTGGAAGTTTAAAAACTAGCTGTTGGCCTGCCAATTTAGCCGTTTGGCTTTTTAAAAAATAGTCATTTGGTCCCCAAACTTTGTTTTAACCCCAAACTTTTTATAATTACACTTTTTCCTATTCTCAACTATAAATACCCCCTCATTCTTTCATTTTTACTCACAAAATCATCAATCTCTCTCAATCTAATTTTCTTCTATAATTCGCTTACTTTATTATTGCAATTTGTGAAAAATTGTGAAGTTGGTGAATTGAAGTATTCAAGTCTTCAACGATATGCAATTTTCAAGAAGTTGTTCGTCAATTCGGTAAACTCGTTCCAACTCTTAAGTTTTAATATTATTGTTTGTTTTAGTTTGTATAATTATAATTAATATGGCCTTTTCTTTGAAAAAAATGTTTGGTGATAAGGGAAAATCTAAAATTGGTGAATCTAGTGGCCAAGCTACTAGTCCTCCCCCGGCTCCCCGACCCAGACATGTTACCCGTCCTCCTCCACCTATTATTCTTGATAGTGATAACCCTTGTTTTCAATTTACCGATAGTCAATTTTGCCATGATATTGCACCAGGTCAACAATTAAATGATGAATATATGAATGCTCTTTATAATAATACAATTATCGATGAAGATGATGAGGAAAATAATGATTTAGATGAAACCCAATCGGATTTAGATGATACACCTACTAGTCATGTTGTTAACCCAACTGATAATAATCCAAATGATGCCCCGCCTGACCCTACTGTAGTAATCTCTACTTTTAATAGACAACCTTCTAAACGGCAAAAAAACATCTCTGTTTGGCATGTTTTTACTCAACTAAGAAATCAAAATAAGGCTAAGTGTAAAACTTGTGGGACTTTGGTGGCTCATAAATTTACTAGAGACTGTAGCGGTACGGGTACTTTAACTAGACACATAAAGACACACCCGATAAAGCTAGATTTTTACAAATGAAAGCTGCGCAAGAGGGGACAAGTGTAGGTACTCAGGTTAACCCTAGTACCGGGTCAAATCTAGTTCAACCGGGAATTAACACTGTTACCGGTGGCATTTCATATTACGATCCAAATAAAGATCGTGAAGAATTGGCAAAAATAGTTACTGTTATGTGCTTACCCTATAGTTTTCCTTCTAACCCTCACTTTGTGCATTATATTAGAAAAGTTTTTATTCCTACTTATAAAGGATGGCATCGCGCAACCGTAAAGAGCAATATTTATAAATATAAATATGAATATGAACAATATTTGCGCTATTTATTTACTCATATAGATTGTCGCATTGCTATTACTACTGACATTGGTAGAAGTGGTAATGACTGTGATTATCTTACTGTAACCACTCATTGGATTGATGAGGAATGGAAAATGCAAAAGCGCATTATTGCTTATAGAATAATTAATTGATGTCACACAGGTAATTTTATTGCTAATACAGTTGCAGATATTTGTAGATATTTTTGCATTACAGATAAAATAATGTCAGTTTCAATGGATAATGCTTCTAGTAACACTAATGCTATAGGCTTGCTTACAACTACACTGAATCCTGCATTTAGTAATATTTTCTATGTTAGATGTATTTGTCATATTTACCATTTAATCGTCGGTGATGGTATGAAAATTTTAAATGTGGAAATTGAAAAGGTTAAAATGGCTCTTAATTGGCTTTTTTATTCAAACAGTAGAAGTAGACTTAGAGAATATTTTTAAAAATGTGATGAATTTGGCCTTAGAGAAAGTAAGGTTCCTAAAGCTTGTCCGACTAGATGGAATTACATGTATGAAAGATTAGTTGTTGCATATGAATATAGAAACCCAATAAACGCAACGTTTAATGCTCGTGTTGGTGGTGGTGATGATGATGAGCACCTTACAAATCAGGATTGGACAAATGTTAAAATTCTTGTAGATTTTTTAGAACAATTTCATGTTGCTACAAATGAATTATCTGGGCAATATTATCCTACTATTTCTAAATGTTTAGTTTATATTGCAGCACTTGCAGATTTGTTAGTCACTTTTTAGAGGGTGGGGTAATTTATCAACTTGCTATTAATTCTATAAACGATAAGTTTAAAAAATATTATTTTTTCCTATCCCCCTTATTTATGGTGTTGCTGCCATGTTAAATCCTACCATGAAATTAGGAGGTCCTCACTTTTGGTATACAAATATTTATAAGGCTTTAGATCTTTCAGATGAGGAATTTGCTACACTTGCAGATGCAAAAGCTTCAATTAAAATAAATGCTCAAACAATTTATAATGCTTATCAACTTGCCTTAGAT